TCAAAAATCCAGGTGAAATTAAACATAAGATTTTGTCAAGTGATTCTGCTTTAGCCACAAGGTACTTAAAAATTTTAAATACCAAAAGTTCCTATGTTTGTGATTTAAAGAGCATGCTTTAGTTAATTTTTGTTCTAAAATAATTTTCATATGATATTTTCTGTGAAAACAGACACAATATTACAAAAAAAAACAAAAACAAACAAACAAAAAAAACCTATGGAGCTAAAACTTGAAACTAGAATTTTTTTAGTGCACATTGTAAGTGAATCCCTCTTTACTGTGGTTGTAACAAAACCTCTAAGTTTCTTCAAAATAAAACTGACCACAGTTGACAACAGATCTGAGCCACAACTGGTGAAGCAGAGCGAAGCAGCAGCAGTGGACAGAGTGAAGCGCCCTAACTCTGGGGGCTCCTGAGGGAAGAGCTTCCTGAGCAACACCACTTGGAAGCATAGCAGAGCCAGCCACTCATGGCTGAGGGGTTGGTAAGGACGTGGGAAATCAGGCACCTTCATGTACTGCTGAAACTGGTATATCATTTATATAAGAAAAATTGGCAACAGCTGTCAAAACTATAAATGCATATACATTGTGGTTCAGGGATTCCATGTTCAGGTACTCACTTTCCAGATGTGTTCACATGTGCCAAAATGTGTGAACAAGATTACCCATGAAGTACTGGTTTTAGCACTAAAAACTTATTTGTAAATATCCCACATATCTATTAAAAAGAGGACTGATAATTTTTTTTGGTCACACTCAACAATATATCATTAAGGTTTTAAAAACAGTAGGATAGCTTTTCTGGTAATATTGATGTACATAGATATTTAAGACATATTAAGTTTAAAAAACAACAGCAGAACAGTGTATTTTGTGTATTAACACTTGAATAGGGAAGTTTAGGGCTATGGCTGCAGCTCTCTGGTAGAATGCTTTTCTGGCATGCATGAGGCTCTGGGTTCAATCCCTAGTGTCAAAAATAAGTAAATACATTTTTTTTTAATGTTTTAAAAGATGTTTATATGTGGGGGGCGCTGGGGAAATGGCTCAGTAGGAAGGTGCTTGCTGAACAAATATGAGGATCTGAGTTTGAGTTCCAAGAATCCACATAAACAGCCAGGTACCGCCCTGCCTGCCTATAATCCTCACATTGGGAAGGTAAAGACAGGAGGATCCTTGTGGCTTATTGACCAACCAGTCTAGTCAAATCAGCAAGCTACCAGGAAGGACCCTATCTCAAAAATAATAAGGTAGAGAGCAGTTGGGGAAGATATCCAACACTTAACTCTGGCTCCATATGTGCACATACACACTGGGAGAGACACATACATATAAACAAAGATGTTTATATTTATTGACACCTATTAGCTTACATATATTCATATACATATATACATGTGAGCATGTATATATACATAGATATGCTTACACAGCTATATGCATAAATATACACATATCTTTGCTTATATAAAATATTCCTGAAAGATAGACAAGAATCTAAATATATCAGTTGCTTCTAAGAAAGAACTGCATGGTTAGGAGAGAGGTTGGAAGGGAAACATTTGAATTAATATTCTCATAATACTCATAAATATTGATCTATGTAGATATATTTCCTACTCAATAAACAAATGCATTATAAGTACAACAAAAAGGAAAGAAATAACTCAAACTTTAAAGAAAAAACCCACAATTTTTTCACAATTAAAAGAAAAATATTTGATTAAAAAGTCCAGTGAGGACTGGTGAGATGGCTCAGCAGGTAAAAGTGCTTGCTGCACAAGCCTGAAGGCCTGAATTTAATCCTGAGGAGCCCCCAGTGGAAGGAAAGAACAGACTCTAGAGAGTTATTATCTGATCGCCACATGTGCACCATGTACATGTGCACATCCCCACAACGCACACACTTTAAAAAAGAAAGTACAGCCAGACATGGTGTCTTATGCCTTTAATCCCAGTACTTGGTAGACTGAAGCAGGAGGATTACAATTTCTAAGACATCCTGAACTACACAGTGAAACTCGGCCTGATAGATAGATGATTGATATATGATAGATAGATGATAGATGATAGATAGATAGATAGATAGATAGATGATAGATAGATAGATGACAGATATGTTAAAAAATTTCAATTACATTTCTATCATCTATCTATCATCTATCTATCATCTATCTATCTATCTATCTATCTATCTATCTATCTTCTATCATCTATCTTGAGAGGGCATGTGTGCCATAGTGTACTCATGGAGGTTAAAGGACAACTCAAAGTCAGTTCTCTTCTTCCACTATGTGGATCCTGGGGTCTCAAACTCAGGTCAGTCAGATTTGGTGGCAAGTGCCTTTATCTGTTGAATCATCTCAATAGTCCATCAAAAATACGTTTTTTCTATTCTATATTTTTACCAAGAATACCTGAAAATACTATATTGTGGCAGTTACTTTATGTTAGTCTGGATATTTCTCCTCCATGATTCCTATAATACAACTCAAAAAGCACTGTTTAAAGATAATTCATCACCTCCACCATCACATGGTTCTGAATTCTCAAAATAATGTTAACTTTAAAACTAAGAAGCTACTTTTTAATAAACCTGGTATATATGACTCTCTTCAATCCAGGAGATTCCATATAAATGCATCTTGCTCCAAATCCAAGGGTAGAAACAGAAAGGACACTAAATAATACCTATAGTTATGACATTAGATGTCCTCCAGCTCCATCCAGAGTAATATACTGCTACAATATGATCTATTTAACTCAGTTATTGCTATCTGAGACCAGATGCTAGGCTATCAACAAAAAGTTAAAAAGCACACAAAAAAAACAAGAAATAAACAGTCTAAATGAACATACTAATTAGACTCACATATGCACACACTGGGATCATTAGACAAGGAATGAAAAATATCTATGATTAATGTGTTAAGAAAATTGATGGGGGAAAGTAGACAGCATACAATATTGGAAGAGTAATGTAAAGAGAGGTGAAAACTTTAAGACAGAACCACAAAGCATAGTTAGAAATCAAAATGCAGTAAAAGAAATGAAAAAATCAATTGGCCCACAGCAGACGCCAATCTTATCCAAAGGAATATTGACAATGGATTGCTGCTAGATGAGGAACAGCTGACATTCCTAAAACAAAGACCTCTAGACAGGCTGACTGGATTCACCAGATGGACAAGTAGTGGGGAACGGCTGGGGGTGCCGACAACACAGCGGACAGTAGCAGGGATAACAGAGTATAAGGGCTCTAGTGGGGGGAGGGAGGCTATGGGAGGGTGCCATCTGGGAAGTGGGTGTATAGTTGAATAAGATTGTTTGGGATGTTCTGTGTGATATACACACACACAAAAAAATCAAGAAATTTTTAAAAAAGTATATTTGATGAAGAAGCATAAAAATTTACATCACTACACACACACACACACACACACACACACACACAACAAAAATCAAC